ACGAACGTGCGGGTCGTGTTGAAGGCCGCGACGGCTCTATCACTCAAATTCCCATTCTAACTATGCCAAACGATGGTACGATTTGTACACTGGAAGTTCTTTTTTCCGATCTTTTTTGCTTAATGTGTTATTTATAGATATTACTCACCCTATTCCCGATCTTACTGGTTACATTACTGAAGGCCAAATTTATGTCGACCGTCAGCTGCACAACAGACAGGTTGATAGTCTATTTTGCTTCTGTTTCACATGATGACTAGAAAAACTTCTCAAGATTTACCCACCAATCAATGTGCTTCCGTCACTTTCTCGTTTGATGAAATCTGCTATTGGTGAAGGAATGACTCGTGAAGACCATTCTGATGTTTCCAATCAGGTCCCGTTTTTCTTACTAGTCTTCAGTGTGTCCTTCCCGAGTTTGTTATGCGATATTATTTTCAGTTATATGCTTGTTATGCAATTGGCAAAGACGTTCAAGCTATGAAGGCTGTAGTAGGAGAGGAAGCTTTATCTTCCGATGATCTTTTGTACCTTGAATTCTTAGTGAAATTCGAAAAGAACTTCATTACTCAAGGTTTGTTTGGCATCGCTGTTCCTGCAAACGCATACTCACCATGGCCCTTCTTTAGGAAACTATGAGAATCGAACTGTTTTCGAATCGCTTGATATTGGATGGCAACTTCTTCGTATTTTCCCCAGGAGAAATGTTGAAGCGAATTCCAGAAAGCACTCTTGAAAAGTATTACCCTAGAGGAGGAGCGAAGACGGATTGAATCTTGTCATTTTTCTGAATGATAACCTTGTAGCACATTGTCCAGAGTACTTAATGTTGTCCAATAAGCTCGACTGTTCATCTTACGAATTAAGCTTGACGTGATCGAGCTTGCTATGTTTTATTACCAGTAGCATCAAGAGAGTGATTGTGTACAATATAGAGTGATATTCGCATGCTATAGTTTTGTGATATTTAAAAACATTCCGTTCCTTTCTTTAAAGGATCGTTGTCGTCTCGTTACGAATTTAACAAAGATTAAACAGTGCTCGTTGTTAACATTTACTTAGTTGCCTTTCAAGTGACCACGGCACAGTTTCTGTGAAAGAAGTAAGCTGCTGTAGGATCATAGTGCTAATGGATTGACCGCGTACAATCTTTCTAATGATC